ATGGTCAGGATTCTTAGTGAGAATGCTACCTGTAATTCAAGTAGTTGAGACTAACAACATCATGCTTATTTAAGTTGAAAAAATCAAATAGGGTGTATGTACTGATTAGGGACTTGTAACATGAATATAACTCTAAATGTTTGATCATACATGTATATCAATGGGGTTAGGCATCATTTACAATATTATACAATATTTTGAAATCAAGTAGTAGGTGTCAAAACAGGTTTTCAAATAAGAACCTCTTTTGACTTTTGATTTTTCGGCTCTTTCTCTCTCTAGGGTGAGTTTCCACTGCTAGGGTTTTTCCTCCGCTATCGTTGTATAACGAGAAGCGGCCGCCGCAGCCGGGTTTAGTCCTACATGGTTTCTTCTTCCGTCATCAATTGGGCGGTTTTCTTCTTCTTTTGCTTGGCGAGATTAAGCGGAGGAAGGATGATGCTTAATCTCTAGCGACCGAAGGTTGTGCAGGGACAGAAGATGGATGCTTGGTCTTTGGCGGTCAAAGGTCATGGACGAAGCGTGAAGCTTGAGGTTGGAACATATCTGGATTCGAGGTAATCTGTGTTAGGTGGCGACAAAGGAGGCTTGGTAGAGAACCTGATAATAAGAGGCAACGTGAGGAAGAAGCTTCGGTACTGCTGGATCGTCTCCCACCTGAACCGCCGCCATGTAGTGCAGGAGAGTCTGGGGTTTGGAAGCATCTTTTTAATTATTTTTCTGTTGGTTACTTTTATTATTGTAAGACTCTTGCATTAGGATTATGTGAGGTTTGGTCTACTTCAATCGTCTGTGGCTCAGGTTTGCCCATTAATGGATCAGCGAGTTATATTGCTTATTACTTGTTTGAATGTGATTAACTCCATTAATGGATCAACGAGTGATTAACTCCAAGTCTGGTTCGAGGGCTGACGGTTGTATGTGGTTCTTTACTTATTTTACTTCCTTTATGAATGTTAATGCTTTGATTTCAATATAAGTCCTCCCTCTTCCAAAAAATAAGAACTTCTATTATCGTGTGATTTATTTTACTATTACGGGACAAATTAATGTGGAGTAATATGTAAAGTTAAACGGATTCAGTATGAATCCGCATATGAGTAATTAGTAAAGCTAAATAACCTAACTTTAGTCACATATACACAGTATTATTCGCAAGAAATGAAAAATAATGCAAGTCAAAATGTGCATTTAAGTCAAAATAATACAACTTTAACAAATACGTAACAATCATCCCAACTTATTAAAAAACATGACATATTATTACTTTTTTATACATCGGAAAGGATAAACACATTCTTACTATAAAACAGATACATATGCTGCTATATAGAAATCATTCTACTAGTTGTCCCTACTAGAAATCATTCTAGTAGTTGTCCCTGCCTTGCCTTTGATTATTCTAGTGGCCCTCCGAGCTTTTAAAAGTCCACCTTATTTAAAGCTTGCAGATGTTTTTATATATAAAAACTCCAATATATGTGTATATATACTCCGTATATCTCATTTTTTATTATTCCCATCCCTCTAACTTTGTAACTAGAGTGAATGACGTAGTTATTTAGAAAATTGAATTATATACTCTGTTCTCTTTGAATTATCTTCCAAATTTCCATCACAAAAGAATCTTCTCTCTCCCTTTTTTCCCATAGAATTTATTGTGTGTAGCATTTTTTTTACACATTTCTCTCTCCCCTGTACAACTCTTGAACGAGGGAACAATTAATATGAAATTGATAAAATGCGAATAAAATAAACATAGTATGAGACAAACTTAATAGGAAAAACGAAAAAAGATAAAATGAGACAAATATAAGGGAACACGAGGAGTACTCCCTCCATCCCTTAAAACTTTGTCATCTTTCCTTTTTGGAACGTCCCAAAAAACTTTATAACTTTCCCTTTTAATCAATATTTTGTGGTTTCTGTTATTTCTCTCTCCTCTGCACAAACCTCAACCACACAGTTTTTACTTTATTATTTTCCGTGCCGGTCAATTTTGGCAAAGTTTTAAGGGACGGGGGTAGTATATTATTGTGAATTTGCGTTTTTTTTTGTTTACCCGGATCAGACCACACTAGATGGGGTGACGGGAACACCTCCCTAATTTATTAAAGTAGAGTTAAAATACATGTGCTGAAATTTGAAAGTACAAGAGAACTAAAGCAAAAGCAAAAAATTACATTAGCATTTGAATTTTTTCGAAGGAATTCCAATTGCCGCATAGATTGATATGTTGAAGAACTTTTTTTGAAGGAATTCCATTTTTTGTTTATGGAAATTACATTTTGGTGGTTCCTATATGAGTGTGTGGTCTATTTTCAAACTTAGTTGAATATTTTTGTGGTTCCTCTCATTTTGAGTTTAGGATATTTTTAATTTTAATTAGATCGTAATTTTCTGTTCTAGTGTGGTCTGTTTAAATATTATTTCATTATGTCAAGTCTGAATTGGTTTCATCTAGTATGATCCGACATGCATTTAATATAGCAATACTTATGTCATATTGAGTATTCGACTGTATATTCAAAGTATTATAATACAGATTATGTAATAATTTCTCATGTCTAAGAAATAAAATAAAAAAGAATGCTCCTATATTAATATTCAAGTTTTTTCTTCCTCCATGGAGAAGATAACATGGCACTGGATGGGACAAAAAACGGGGGTGGGAGCAGGCTTCGATCTGTAAGCCTGCCAAAGCAGCTACTGTCAGATTGGATGCGGGGAAGTTAAGGGTGCTTGTGGTTCGGCGGGCTCGGACAGAGTTTCAAGTTTATTTGCTTTGTTTTTTTTTTCTGTAGTGACAATTCTTTTTGCATTATGTTTTGTTTTGTTTTGTTTTGTTTTTACTATTCCAGTTTGTAAGACGATGGATTTGGATAGGGGTGATGGGAGGATTGCGGTAACCGTCTTTGGCTCATTTGTGCTCATTAATGGATCAACGAATTATATTGCTTCTATAGAGGTGATTAATTCCGAGTCTGGTTCGCGGGACGACGGTTGTCAGGATGAATCTTTTTGTCGATTTACCTACTATCTGAATGATGTGTTATCAAATTAAGCCTATTTCATTCGGGAAAAAAAAGTTTTTTCTTCCTCCTAATTAAGGCAATTTCCACTTTACGGATTAATTGTTTTTCATGGGATTGAAGTGGACCATCAATCATAACATAAATGAATTGTTCGTTCTTCTCTGTTGATTTCTATGTAGCACCGATACCGGTACGCGGAAACGCGGAAACGCAGAAACGGGTACGGGGATACGTCAAAACAAAAAAAAGTAGGATACGGATACGGGACCATATTTATAAATATTAAAAGTTATGGGGGTGTATTTACAAATATTAAAAGTTATAGGGGTCTATTTATAAATATTAAAAATAGATTTTTTTTGAAAATATATACTCCGTATATACATATAATATCCTATGATGTCTACCCATTCATTGCATTGAAACATTTTCTTTTTTCAAGATACTTAGTAATAAATTCATAATATTTCTCATATACATTAGTGAATCTCGAAATATAAATGTAGTCAATAAGTCATTAATTTAAAATGAGAAATAAGTCAAACAACTACAATCTTGAAATTAAAAGTGCAATGACTTAATTCGGAAATAGCCATATAGGCCCATTATTTGATAACCAAGTAAAATGTAGTTTTAGATTTTCATTTTTTTAGAATTTTATTAAGTAAATTTTGGGATTTTTTTTTTTTTAAAAAAAAGTTGATACGGGTATCCGTCAGGATACGAGTATCAGAAACTTTCAAAAAATTACAAAAAAAAATGGAAACTTTTAAAAATTGCAGATACGGCCCGGGAACATACGGTACGGGTATCCTAGAGTAACGGATACGGGAACGTATCGGATACGCCGATACGCTACCTTAGGCTGTCCGCAACCCGCTGGAGTCAATAAATCAAATTCGCCACCTTTTTATACGTATTCACTCAGTCAATCAGTTTTTCTCTGCAACCCAACACCGTCAATATATTCACCCAACACATTTTTTTTAAAAGAAATGTATACATTCTTACTTTTATTATCACACATCAATCATATGACAAATTGTTTTTTACTAATCATTATGAATTAAAAAGTCAAATATTTCGATGTAAAAAAATATTTTTTTTGGAAGGTATTAAAATTTGCACACATGACCTTAATTTCAAATAAATTGGAGTTTCCATTCAAAATATGTACTCCTATATTGGATCTACCTAAAAATGTTTTTTTTTTAAATTTAAGCCAGCCCAAAAGTATGAAGAAAAGAAATCCAAGCGCATTCCAGCGAGTCCAGGGCACCGCCTAATTTGAACCGTGCAAACCTCCTGCAAAATGCTGCTGACTCTTGGGACCCACACTGCTGCCAACTGTTGGCTTCCTCCTTTTGTGCAGCGGCTAGTGGAAATGGTGGGTCAATGTACCCACCGAAATTTTCCCAACTGGTGCCATGCATCCACTTTTGCACCCAACAATACATGGGTTGCAATACTTCTTTGGGGTGAAAAGAATGAATTTGACTTATTCAACTATGGGTTGCAATCAGCCTTAGGGAAGTATCCGTGCTTCATAGGTTGATTTAACTGGTCCAGTTGCGGGGTATCCCAAGTCCTAACCTCGTACATTGCCTCCATATACACTCAAAAAAAAATTCATTATATTCATATCCAAATGGCTAAAGAGATTGGCAGTCTATCAATATTCTTTTCTGTTAAAATCAAGTCTCTGAACATATTTCTTGTAACCGTGGTTTGTGTACTGTTGGGAAATTAAGTGTATTTCAAAAAAAATTAATTACGGAGTATTTTGTAATGGGATGTTTATTTTACCAGAATTCGACAGTCGATTAAAAATGTATTTCAAATAAATATAAGTGATTGACCAAGTTTATTTGGTTTAGCATTTTTCTCTCCATTTTTGTAGGATCCAAAACTACCCACTCACATTCCAATTCCTTTTATATAGAAAATGGAAGCCAGGAGATATACGGAGGAGCTCTTACCAACTCAACTTAAAATGAAAATTTTCTCCATGCTTGTGCTAGATTATTATAGTGATTACTTCTCTCTTAATCCTCGTTCCGTCTTATAGTCGAAGGCCTCGTTATATTCTGGGAATGTTTATCAGTCCGTCAAAATTACTTTGTGAGGACAGCAACTAGATGTCTCGAGTCATGGTCTTTCTTGTTATTTTTTATTCGCATGTGCTTCTATGAAGTATGAACTAGTTACAATGAGGGTGCGGTCCTGTGACAAACGACCAACTAAATACGACAAGGGAATCAGAGTCCGTATGACAGCAGAAGATGACGACAACCCAGCTCAGTCTTGCGTCCGAAGTTGTCGAAGAGGAAGATATCAGAGACCTTTTGCTGGAAGTTTTCGGCCAGTGCAGGTGGCGATGATATCTCACCAACAATCTCAGAAAGTAGATCAACCAGATTGAAGCACATCGCTTTGTTACGTGATTTCCTAACCATCCTAGTGACTGCCGGCTTTTATTCTCCCAGCCAGTGACTCCTTGCAAGTCTTGCAACAAATAGGCTTCTACTGGTTTGTTAATGTGCTGCTATGGTCTGTCCACAAGTCTGCTGCGAAATTTAGTTGCAATTTTTTTTATACCTAGGTCAATCTGCCAATATTTGTCTATTGTGGTAATTTGTGGTAATTTTATTTGTCACCCTACTTAAATAACCCCCTAAAGTTTGAGTTTAAAATTGATTAAAAGTGACGATATTTTTGTTGCGGTTATTTTTTAAAAATTGTAAAATTAATGATGTCAATGGGTGGATGGGAGACCCCGGGGTTACCAAACACATTTGTAAAAACAAATTAATGTTCTTACCTCCTATACTACTATAGAAGATGAATAGCTTGTTACATAGCGGACTAAAAAACCGTCAGAGTGCATGATAAAGGGAAAGTCACTAATTTAGTTTCTCTTTCTCGTTTGGGAAAAGCTGGAGTGAGTATTTTTTTTATTGTAACAAAATTGTTATGACAAACAATGACGTTTTTATAGGCAAAGACAATTGTAAGAATAGATGTTATGTGCTTAGCGTTTCGAAATTAATGCATGATAATGTTTTTGCTTATTTGATTGATTCGTTTGATGTGTGGCATGCACGATTAAGACATGTAGTGAGTGGTTCTTATATTATCGTGGTTTGATTTATATGACGCTAGAAAAATGTGATACGTAGTATTTGTGTAGAATCTAAACAAACCAAAAAATCATGTTAATCCACATTTAGGGAATGAGAACTAATTCACACGGATTAATGTGATTTAGAAAATATAATGACCAGAGGTTGTAAGAAAGATTTAGATAAATTAGTAATGTATAAATCCGAGATGGAAAATCAATTAAATAAAAAGATTAAGAGTTAGATTGGATAGAGGGGTGAATATATTTTAATAAATTATTTTTGTGAAAGGGAATGCATTACTCATGAGATATTCGCCCCTTCTTTCCATCCGATCTAACACTCTTAATCTTCTTATTTAATTGATTTTTCACCTCGCATTTATATACTACTCCGTATAATTTTTTAAAAAGTCTTATCTTTATTTCTAAGCAAATAAACATTAATGTGTCTCGAAAAATCATCTATGAAGGTGACATATAATCTCTTACCACTTCTATTCATCGTGTTTTTTAAATCACCAAAATCCGTGTGAATTAAGCCAAGCAATTTTGATGCCCTATATATGGAAGGACATGATTTTTTGGTTTGTTTAAATTCTACACAAATATCACATTTTTCTAGTGTTAGATTATTTTCGCTAGAAATCAAACCACGATCATTCAACAATTTAATATAAGAAGTACTCACATGTCCTAATCATGCATGTCACAAATCATATAAATCAATCAAATAAGCAAAACCATTATTATGCATTAACTTCAAAACACTAAGCACATAACATGTATTCTTACATAACATTTTCCCCTAAGAACATCATTTTTGGTCATAATAGTTTTCTCATAATCAAAAGATACTTTACCCCCACCTTTTCCCAAGAGAGAAACAGAAGCAAAATTGGTCCAAATCTCGGGCACATGAAGCACGTCATTTAGTGATAAAATTTTCCCTGGTGTAAGCTTTAGAAGAGCTTTCCCTTTACGATACACCTTTGCGGTTTTTGAGTCTACTAAGTACACGAGCTTTTCGTCGTCGCTTTTCGTCGTCTCCTATAATAGTATAAGAGGTAAAAGCACTTTTGTTTTACAAATGTGGTTGGTAATCCCGATGTCTACCCACTCATTCACATCATTAATTTCATATCTTTGAGAAACAACCGCAACAAAATTATCATCACTTTTAATCAATTTCAAACTTGATTTTAGTGGATTGTTGTTTTCATAGTTGTCCTTTTATCGCACAAAAATGACATTTATCATAACAAATGGGATTAATATAAGGCTAATTACCACAAAATGCATTAGACAAACGCCGGCAGATTCATGATGAGATAACAAGGTTGCAACTAAAACAGTGTATGGAGATACCAAATTTCGCAGTGGACACGTAGACACAGATTGCAATAACGTATTCGTCTGGCGATACTTTCAAAGATTGTTGGGGAAAATTCTGATATCTTCTTCAGTTTACCGCGGTGGCATGAAGACTCCATGTTGTTCTTTTTTCTTCTCGCATCGCAGCTTGTTTGATTCTTGTTGTTTGGAGCTGTAGTCCTCTAAATACTTCCAGCGGACCAAACAAGCAAAGTAGCAATTTTGGATAACTACCTGCAAAGAGAAATAATAAGAAACACCATGGCTCGAGACACGTAGTCACTTTCCTCTAAAAGTATTTCCGGCGGACGGAAAGCTTTCTCCAGGATATAACAAGCCCTTCGAGTACAAGTTGGTACCAAAACTACAAGGGAAGTAAACACTATAGCAATCCAACCCTTGGAAAGAAAACATTTTCAATGAGGGCTTTTTGAGAAGACAAAGTTGCAGAGAAGTTATTTCGAAGCAGATGAGTTCCTAAGGAATACTCCATATACCTGCTGTCCTGGCCAGAAAGCCTTCATTGAAAAAACAAAATCACTTGATCAACTAATGATTTAAAATAGTTGATCAAACATGTCTTCAAGAACAATGGTTATGAAACCAGTAAATTGAAGAATAAATTGCTATGCAGGCTAAAATATACTTCTTCCGTCTTAGATAAACTTCTGAATCTGTCTTGTGGGGTCAAATTTCATAAATTTTGAGCTTTAGTTTTTTATTTTATCAAAGATGTGGTACTATCACAGAATTTCTCTCCATTATAGAAAAAATAACATCCAAAAAAGAAGAGTATTGACATATTCTCATAGTACTCACATGTTTCTGTCCGGCAAGCCATACATTCCTACGACTTGTATTGCCACAATTTTCTGAATCTTATCCCAAATACATAACGTCTGATGCAAAATACGTAGTATCATGTTTAGAGCCTTCAATTTAGTATAGCATTAACAAGACAACGATACACAAGATAGTAACTTTTGACTTTTATTCATCACAGAATTGGTGAGGCACTTGCTTCAAAAAAATTACACTAGTTCAAGAGGATTTTTTCATTTTCTTCATGAAGTCTTCAATCCTCTCGGCAGCATGAAACATATTCTTCTGTTTAATTTCCTCCAAAAGAAGAGTGCATGTCTGATATCGAGGTGTGACCTCTTTGGCTACCATCTCTTCAAAAAGCCTATATGCCCACTCACATTTATTTGATCTGCACAACCCATGGATCAAAAGTGAATACCCTGCTAGATCCAAACTCAGATGATGCTCATTAACCATGTCATCTAGTAACTTGGGCAATAAATCATCAGTCTTCCCATTTCTAAAGCAAAGCTTGAGCATAGGAAAGTATGACTGCATATCAGGTTCACAATGTGGGGATCTTTCCAATTCTCTCAGGCACTCTAAAGCAGGTTCTTCTTGTCTGTGATAACAAAACATCGCAATCAAAGAATTATAAGTTGAAGTGTTTGGTTTCACACCATAAATCGGCATTTCAACTTTGAGGACATCTATAGCCTCTTTTAGCTTGCGGGACCTACCTAATGTGTGAATCAATGCGTTATAGAAAAGTGTATCAGGTTCAACACCATACGATCTCATCTTGTCGCAAACCTTCAGTGCTTCCTCAAACCTCTCCATCTTTGTCAATGAGGAAATGATTGTGGTGAAGGTGACCACGTTTGGTTTGCACCCTTGAGCCTTCATTTCATCAAGAAGCTCAAAGGCTTTGGGGTACTCAGATTGCTTACAATAGGAAGTGATTATTGTTGAGTAGCTGATAACACAAGGGTGAAACCCATTCCCTTTCATCTCCTGAACCGTCCAAAGAGCTTCATCCACACGGTTGGCTTTGCACCATCCATGAATAAATATGTTGAACGTGTTTAGATTTGGTTGAATGTGTGACTTAAGCTCCAAAAAGATTTCACGTGCCTGGAGAACTCTGTTTGCTTTGCAGAGTGCATCAAGTAGCAAATTCATGGTTTCAGTGTTCTTCTCAAACCCATATTTGCCTAACTCATCAAATACCCTAACTGCTCCTTTCCATTCCCCAGCTCCTGCAAACCTTCTCATGACTTTCCCTATGGTGCTTAGAGTAACAATATGATCCTGGTTTTCGGACATTTCATCTAAAAAAGCACACATCTTATCCATTTTTTTCATTTTCCCGAGAATGTCCACCACTTTATCGTAGAATTCAGGTAAGGGTTTGTAGCCAGGTCGTGACTCTGCCCATCTAAAAGCTCCCAATGCTGACTTCCAATCATCTTTGAAGCAATGAAGCAATTTCCCAACAAGGTTGTGACTAGGCTGGATGGCGTCACAGTTTGGATCGGATTGGAGAGACATGAAAACCTCATCATCACTGCTCCCAGGAGATAATTTAGCAAGTAGGATTCCAATATCAGAATCTGTTCTCAACCCAGAATGGAAAGAACCGGAGGACGAAAGTGAAGTGGAAAAAAACTTTAAATTGTTTCTTATGGGAATCGGAGGAATAACCAGATGAGCTGATTGGACCAGATGATAAATGCTTCTTTTGAAGATCATGAAGACAGTGTCATATATAATGGGTATTTAGTATTTTCTACTCCTGCAACTGCATGTACAAGACAGAAAGATTAGCCCTTTTGGAAATCTTTTATCTTTTTATCTAAAAAAAAGGAACTGTGTGTACATTAATGGTTCCCGCCTGAAAAAACTTAGGATGTTTTTACTTAGACTGGTTGTGAAGTCCAAGACCTGAAACACTTACATTAATTGTTTTTTAATCTTTGTCTTAATTTGTTGGACCAACTTATCTGTTTACAGTTTTAAAACATTGTAAACACCAAACAAGTATGGCCCACGAACTAATCAACCAAAAAATATAAGGGGGCTTATCAATTTTTTAAAAATGACATGTATATTACTAACAGAGTTTCTCCTTACAAAAATATGACTAGTTATGTTTTTTGATAAAAATATGACTGGTCACTGTGTACGAGTAACTGAACAAGAGTTACTATAATGTATTTCAGAGTAACAAGATACTCATAGATGATGAATCATTGAGAACTAGTCACTAAATATGTCACTTTTTTGGAAAAATTTGCAATAAGTCATATTTTTTGTCTTTTGAATTTAATTTAATAATATTCATGAAAAAAGGACTATCAATTTTGCAGGTCAATATGTCTTTTGATGCAAAATGAATCGTGAAATGATATGTGAAAACATAAAAAGTACAACACCTCACAAAAGGATATATTTATGGGGGAATTTGACTTTGAATCCCACTTTTTGGGTGATATTGGACTTTGCACCTCATTTTGAAAAAAACTTTGATTTTGCACCCAACACCTAATGAAAAAAATTAAACGAGTAAACACTTCGAACATAATGATTAAAATCCATTGAAATTCATAACAATATTTTTAAGAAGTACATACAATTTATGAAACTAAAACATTATGACCCTAACAAACTCATCTGTGACGGACTCAACATCGATATTGTTGGCAAGTTCCTTTCAATAAAGATGGCCACACAGTCGGCAAGAAACTCATGTAAGATGGACTCAAACGCTCATAAACTAACTCCTCTTAACAGGTGAAATATTTGGAGTTTCAATCTAGTCATTTCACTCTTGTATGTTCTCTGTACTTGTAGTAGGTTTAATAAACGAATGCAGTGTTATTTTTTCCTATTTAGAAGTAGATTGGGTAGGCATAACTACTTCAATTGACAAAAATTAATAAAATCATAGTTGTATTAGTTGTAATCACATAATTCATACGGAGTATATTAATATGTTGAGAAATTGACCATCCTCATTTTCAATTTCACAAATGGAATCACACAATGACACAAATTATTCACCAATAGCAGAACAAGTTCATATTTGTAAAACACTTGAACACAGAAATACTAAAACAGTCAAACACTCGAACAGAACATTCAAGAATCAAGATTTCAAGCTATTAGCTACTTAAGTTAAAATAAATAAAAAAATGAAGAATAAACACTTATGACTTACCTACTGGGGGGATTAGCAGAAGGCAGCCAGAACTCTGAAGTGAGAAGCAGACTACCAGGTATAGGCGGAGGGCGGAGGGCGGAGGGCGGAGGGCGGAGGGCGGAGGGAGGGGCTGTGGCGGTGTGATGCGTGCGGGGCTGCGGGCGGCTGAGCCGCTGAGCGTCTCTAGCGCTATCGTCTCTGCGACCGCGACCGCGACCATGCGACTCGCCTAACGGAAAGTTCTACACCCTTTAATAGGGGTGGGCAAACGGGTCTTGGAACCGCGGTCCGGTCCGGGTAATGGCGGTTCGGGTCCAAAACGGGCCGTTTCCATTTTTTGTTGTCATAAAACGGTCCGGGTAGGTTCGGGTAATTTTTTTTAAGGACCCGGGCCGGTTCCAAAATAAAAAAATACCGGGTACCCGGCCCGGCCCGTTATATATATATTGTATATAAATTTATTAATAGTTTTGTGATAATCGGTTTTGAAATAGTTTTGTTTTCCTTTGCTAGAAGTAGGATTTCAAATTGAGTTGCAGTAACATCATTTTGCTTTCAAATTATTGATTAAATTTTACATTAATTTCTTATTACTTTTTATTGTTATTGAATTATTCCTTTCTATGAAATTTAATTATTTGTTAAAAATGATTTTGTAATACTCCGTATTTGTTTTTATAGTATTGTTCTTAAAATATATAAATTGTGATTACCACTCCCATGTATGTGTCAATTTTGGCTAATACTGAAAATTTAATAAAAAAAACACAATCACCTTAATATGTGATGTTAGACAACATTTTTAAATTCAAATGTTAGAAAATATGTATTTTGGCTATGTTGCTGACTTTTGGAACTTCTTTAATTGTTTGGAACTTATATACATGAAATTATGGAGTATTGGACTTGTCAATTGTGTTACATGTGCATCACTAGGTTGTTATTTTGAAACTTGCTAATGTACTATATTATTGATTATTGATTTTTGGAACTTTGTGAGTTTTTACTAATTTTAAGACATGGGAATAGAAACCGTAAAACCCGGACCGTACCGACCCGTTTCAAACGGGCCGGGTAAGGTCCGGTTCCTATTTTGAAAGTTGCAATGCCCGGACCGGACCGGACCGTACAATGGAACCGGCGGTTCCATTTTATTTTGCATTACCCGCCCCGACCCGGCCCGTGCCCAGCCCTACCCTTTAATTTGGTCTGCATTTTGATTTAGGAATTGGGCCATCGACTGGCACTATTTTACACTTTAAATTGGAAGGAATATAACTTTAGAGGTGTATTGATTTTGATTTGAAACGTTTCAAACTAGATGTGCGTAACTCCATATCCGTTTCAAACTCTTCTCGTCAGGCCGGCCTGACGGGAACCTCCGTCCGGCCGAGCCCGTTTGGGCACCTTCCCGGTGGAATTTTTTGATGAAATTTTTTGAGCATGTTCCTCATCAAGTCTAGTTTGTTCATACCAAATTTCAGCTCAAAATTCGATCGGGAAGGCATTCAAATCATTTTTTGAAGTTGACTGCGTCAAAATATACATATAAAACTGCAGTCAACTTCAAAAAATAATTTGAATGTCTTCCCGATCAAATTTTAAGCTGAAATTTGGTATGGAAAAACTAGACCTGATGAGGAACATGCTAAAAATATTTCATCAAAAAATTCTACCGGAAAGGTGCCCAAACGGGCTCGGCCGGACGGGGCAGCCCGTCAGGCCGGCCTGACATGAAGTTTTCTCTCTCTCTCTATATATATGTGTGTGTGTGTGTGTGAGACGCTTGATATCAAATACTTCGTACGTTTCTTACCATATACATATATGTGACATGTGTATAACTTTAGGAGTGGGTGTTAAAGTGTATTGTTAATCAACATACGGACAAGGGCGGATGCAGGGAATTCATGTTGGGGGTACAAAATATTTTTTGAGGGTGATTTTTTTTAGGGGGATAAAATTATTTTTCTTATATATATACACTAAAAATAAATTTTGTTGGAGGGGCGGTAACCCCCGGGATCTGTATTCTGTACTACGGTCCTAAGATTGGCCATACTTTCCTAAGATTGGCCAATACTTTCCTAAGATTGGCCAATAAATGTTCCAACCTTATCATGATTTCATTTTCATACGATGCTTTTCATGGATGGGTAAGATATCAGTTATACATTTCACATAAAATTTCCATTATGTCCTTAATTTGGGCGGGAATTTTCCATCCAATAGTTGTAGCAACTTTGCTACTTTATACCCCCTCCGTCCCGCAAAGAAGTTCTCACTTTTCTTATTTGGATATCCCAAAAATAAGTTCTCATTTCCTTAAATGACAAGTTATCTAATCAAAACAGTGTCAAACAGTGCAAAACAGTGTCAAACAGTGCCAAAGAGTGTTCAAACAGTGTCAAAACAGTAAAATTTACCCCCTGATAAGTTTATTTCCTTAATATGTGTGTAGGTCAAACCAGGAACTTCTTTGCGGGACAGAGGGAGAATTGTATAAAGATTTTCCACAAACAGCACCTATACGGCTTGAAAAATACACGATGCGTCAATGGTCAATGTGCAATTGACTGTCACCCTCAATAAGCACCGTTAGGATGTTTTTAGTTGGACTGTAATTCGTTTGAACTACAGTTCAAATGAATTACAGATTTACAGTTCAAGAATAAACCTGGATAGTTATAAAAATACAAAAGAAACCGAACATTACTAGACAAGACGAAATCAGACCAATAAATTAGCAAAACACTTTATCTATACTTTGTACAGGGAAAATATGAGACAGTGGTATATAATTCGTACTTCATATACTCCGTATCTATTACCGGAAACTTATCATCCCAACAAGTTGCTGCAAAACGAGGTCTAGAAAATATAGTCAATCGTTTGAACTTTGAGGTATTGTAACTTGTAAGGATCTTTAATTGGTTGCTCTTAATAGCCTAATACGAGTATATTTAGGAATGTGCCTAATACGAGTATATATTTAGGAATCTACCTAATATATATTTAGGAATACTTTTTATTTTGGCAACTCTTCTATCATAAATATATAAGTCAGGACTCCTATTGGAGTACCATTTCTCATTATTTCACATGATATCAACAGCTTTAGATTTATAGATACAATTTTATTCCTCTCTTTTTCAGTTCCCATAAACCCTAGTACACTCGTCGCCGCCTCGGGGTCGACTACCGCCACATCCATGGTAAACTCCGATCCTTTGAGGATAAGCGCGGCTGATATGGCGCATATCATCGCTGACTACAGTGCTTGCTATCAGCGTGTCGTTGAGTTCGCCGCCTGCTGCTGCTTACGTCCGCACAGTCCACCTTCTACGCGTCGCTGACCACAGTGCTTGCTTCCAGCGCGCTGTTGAGTTCGCCGCTTGCTGCTGCAGACGTCGATTCTTTAGCCGAGTCTGATTCGGCCGTTCGCAGAGCTATTCCAGAGTGTTATGCATGTCCCACTCTCTCTTGCGACCCTGGCATGATCCCATTGTCTTCTGCTGGGCCAGTTGGCCATCGACTGGGATCCTCTCTGTTGCCCACTTCATTCGCTACTCTTGCTCAAGGTTTATTCAGGGGTCTACAAATTATGAACAATATTTGCTGTTTTTCTTGGTCCTAATCTGGTTTCTTGGAAGTCCTAGAAACAACCTACTTGCTTGTGGAGATCTTATTGTCAAATATGTGCCTCCTAATCTTCCGTTGGCGGATATATTTACTAAGAATTTTTTTTTTTAGTTTGCAACTTTGTTTTTTAAAAGACAATCTGCGAGTTGTATCTCCCACACAGTTTGAGGGAGTGTAATAGCCTAATATATTTAGGAATCTGCCTAATATATATTTAGGAATTTACCTAATATATATTTAGAAATACTTTGTATTTTGACAACTTTTCTATTATAAATATACTCCCTCCGTCCCTAAATTTACTTCCAACTTTCCCTTTTCGTCCGTCCCAAAAAGAACTTCACTTTCCCTTTTTGGCAAAGAATTTGTGGTTCACAACATTTCTCTCTCCTCTGCACAACTCTCCACCATACAATTCTCACTTTCTTAATCACCGTGCCACTTTAATTTGGAAGAACAATCAGGGACGGAGGTAGTATCTGTCAGGACCCTTTCTCATTATTTCACAGCTCTTTGCTAACCTCCTAGCTTCACCGGCTACCATCCAAAATCTTTCTCTGATCTATACATTTAAGCTTGAAATTAATGGTAGATCAAAAGAGTTTAATTTGAAAATAATTACCACAAATATAGTACATTTTATTTTACATCCATGTAGAATTATTCTTTTTTTTCATCTCTGAAATTTATGATGGTTTTTCTTTGTCAACCTTGGTTTGAAAATGAATCACGCTGGCTAATAATAGGTTTCATCTAATTCTTTTTCATATTTTTAAAAAATGTTTTATTTATTTTTAGAAGTTTTTATATATTTTTAAAAATGTGAATAATTAGTTTATATTATTTTAACTCTCATATGAGCCTAAAATTTTTATAAAAGGATAAATTCAAATGTTTTTAATAAATTTATGTAACTGACAATAATATTTTTCACAGTTGAGTGGTTTCGAAGAAATTGATGACTAAAAATAAAATAGTTTATAGTACAGGAATGAAAAATATAAAAAATATTTACCAGGGATCTATTGATCGAAAACAAGGTGTGTCATATTTGAAGGGATTAAAAACATATTTAAGTCTTTAATTTATTATTTAACGGTGTACATATTAAACTACAACGTACGTGAAATTATTATTACGTCACTAGACCTTGGCTTCTACTAGTTGGAGCAAGTAAATATTAGTGTAAGAATAAATACAACTGGTTCTATTGTAGGAAAAGAAAAATTTTATACGGAGTACTCCCTCCGTCCCCTTTTAAAAGTCCCGGAAGAAGGTGGCACGGGTTTTAAGAAAAGTGGGTTTGTGTGGTTGATATTAATTGATAAAGTAGGAATAAAGTAAGAATAAAGTAAGAATGATTTTGAGCCACACAAACTTTACCAAATGAGGTATGGGACATTTAAATAGGGACATCCCAATATGGTAAAATGGGACATTTAATTGGGGACGGGGGGGAGTATAAATTATAATCTCAACATCATTTTAGGTTCAATTCCTATTCTTATGCACGTTGAGAGAGTCAATTCAACCTCACTCTTCTTATCTAATATACGTAGTACTCCGTAATGTTATGCTTAAGCTAAGGATCTTTTTAGTTGGAATGAGTTCAATCCCAAAACAAATGAAACCAAACCAAACCAAGCCAGAACACACCAGTCGATACTTAATTAAATTATAAGTTACATATACACTACGATGACTACAAATTATACTAGTATATAGAATAAACATCATCATACCAGATTAGTTCAGACCATATTACACTATAAAAGGTGGAGCCAGAACACTCTACCGGCACAAAGAATATTTGTGGAGGAAAAATTTACATACATTATTTACACTATAATTAAGTCATTTTTTAAATTGAGAAATTAACTTTAAATAATACCAACTATCTTCAATGAACCAATAATAATACGTACTTTTAAAATAACTTTTAATAATACCAACTATCTGAATGTGAACCAAAAATAAAATAGAGACACTTTTCTACAAGAAATTCAGCCACTTAAGACATCAAAAACTAAGATCAAATCATCAAATAATTGATATTTAAAAATATGTATTTGATATTTTGATATTAGTTTTTGATGAATTGAATAAATGAATTTTTAGTGAAAATTTGCTATATATCATTATATCAATCAAATAGTTGGTATTATTAATAGTTATTTCTCAAGTTGGTATCATTCTTGGTTCATGAAAGATAGTTAGTACGTAGTATTATTCAAAGTTATTTTCCATTGGGGTTCCATTGGGGTGTGTGGGAACCTAGATCGATTGCCCTTTGCCCTCATAGCTGCATCAGTACGTGTAAACCATAGGTCCCACCAACTAAAACTAGACCAAACTGGATCACAAAATTAGTGTCCAATTAAAAACCTCATTAATCCTATTACAAAGTTAGACCAAACTGGCTAGCAATCAAGCATGGCAGCTTGCTTTTTCCAAAAAAAAAAAGCAATTAAGCTAGCTTAGTGACTGAAACTTACGTAGTACTCCGTAGCTTGTTCTGTTCATCATGTGTATTCCAGTGGACGAGAAATCCATGCCATTGAAAAAGCAACGTACGTGTGAACGTGTTGTAGGAGTCATTGATTCCCGTTCGTTGAATTAGCATGCATGCTTGAAATCGACATCTTAAACATTCCAAGTCAAAGTAAGGAGGCCATATATCAGTCAAAGGGGGCAGCCACCCAATCACAACTCGACACATCAGCACAACCGTTGGATCAGTCTTCAAATGTCATATCCATGCACCTGCGTACTTAATCAATTAATACTACCTCCTTTCTCCCGTGTTTGGTACAAAGATGTGTGACACAACTTTTAAGAAAAAGTGGAATTGTGTGGTAGGTATTAAATTGATAAAGTGTAAATAAAGTGATAATGAATTATAACTACCCAAATATTATCAAATATGATATAAGACGAATTTAATGGGACAGACAAAAACGTAAAATGGGACAAAGTTAGGGACAGAGGGAGTAATACTTACATAAGTATAGTAGTAATAATAATAATTGCCTAATGATGACTTCCCAACAACCTTCCCCCACCAACAGCCAGCCAGAAGAGATATATATAAATCCATATACGGACTACTAATTATCACCCAACTCTTATCTTAACTTCTCTATACTTAGCTTAATTATTCCGATCCTTTTTAAAAAGGGGAAATGGGAAATTGTGTGAATAAGGGGGGATCTTCATCCATGGTGTGGGCTGCCGAGGATGAGGGGGATGAGTGGCAATGGGTATCACAAGAAAAAAAAATTCAGAAAAGTGGCGGTGAAAGTGGCGGCGGGTTGGTAGTAGGCGGTGACGGTGGTGATAAAAACAGTAGCGCCACCGCGCCGCCCACGACGTTGAAGATCACAATCTCAAAGAAGCAACTCGAGCAGCTGCTTCTGCTGGCGAGGAAAGTGGAGAATAGTAATACTTCTAATCAAGAAGATCAAATACTCTTGGCTAGATTGTTGGCGGATTCCAATCAGCACGGCGGAGATAAGGTGGCGAGGCAGCAGTCATGGAGGCCGCGTTTGCAAAGCATTCCGGAACTCAGTTGAACCGTCGCCCAGCCCGGAGAACTTTTTGTTCTTAGTTGGTGTACATATATACATATACGAATTGAAGTACTATATATATAGTCATCGATCGATATGTAGGTTGCTTGAATTGGATTATTGGTGACAATATTATTTGGTTATTAGCAATGCAATTTGTTGCATGTAACTTTAGCACCAGATTTAGCACAAAGTCTGTTTTTTATATTGCATGATCTTATGAATTCTTCAAAGATTCATGGAGATACAAGCAACATTTATCTCAACTGGGAGGACAATAAATTAAATACCGCCAAGTGGTATTGATGTACGAAGTATTTTATTACCTCAACAATTAAATGAAAAAGAGTATTCTAAATAGCGCGATGCATTTATTACCAAGAGACATATTTTAGTTTTTAATCATTTATATGGGGTTTTGTCTTGAATATTACTAAATTACTAATAAAAGGGTAATAGGTAAAGAAGTGACCTTTTTTTAAAATTCCTGAAATGTGATTAATAAGTGACAAACTTGCTTATATACACACTGCTACAGTGACACAAGACACGGTGACATCCACCCTCCTTGCCACCACCTCCCACTGGTGACCGCCGCCGGAGACCGTCACCGGCCATAGTGACAACGACCATAGTGACACAATAGTGACGCTGTCACTGCCTAGTGACACTGATTTTTCAGTGACGCCACCCGACAAAAGTTACTCCGGCCGATACCGTCGCCATGTCACAGCCGCCGAGTCACTGTCGCTGCCGCGCCCGGATCGCCACTGCCACTGCGGGCGGCCATAGTGACATCTCCGCAGTGACATACCCGCCCCAAATTCTGACTATAGTGACACGAATACATTGACATCTGCCACTACCTCCGACTGGTGACAGTCGCCGCCCACCAGAAGATACTCCGGCCGCAGCAACCCTCATCAGTGTAACTGCCAGATACTCTGCCAGTTACTTTACTCAATAAGTACACTTGCCCTAAAGATATCTTCAAAAGTGAAAAATAGTTTGATGAGTGCGACGGATCAGGATCCTATGGCAGAGTGTCTTGCGGCATCAGACGGTCAAGGAACACTAGGACGAAATCGAGATTGGCTAAGGGGAAGGGGTGGAGCCCAAGATGTATGGCCATTGAATTTCAGATCGAACGGTTCGAAAGAATCAGGCACACTCGGATTGGAATGCGACGAACGAAGTATGTATATGTTCAATTAATCTTATCTTTTATAGATGGAAAAACTATCAAATAAGCCCCTCAACTTTTCAAAAAAATCAATTAAGCCCCTTTACTAAAAGTTTGTCCAATCAAGCCCCCAAACTCAGTTAAAAATGTCAAATTTTTGTTTTGGCCGGTGATGAATAGGTTGCCAGTTTTTACGTACACGTGGCCAGACATGTGGCTATTTTCAAAATTTTCATTTTCTTTTTTAATTTCCTCTTTTTTTTCCTTACCTCCACCTTCTTTCTCATTCCACCGGTCCTTTCCATTCGAGCGAACATCCCCTTCACCCCTTTGTTTTCTTCCATTTTCTTCTCCTTCCACCCATCTTTCTTCTCCCCCTTTCTTCTTTCTTCTTCCAAGCAAAGTATTAGTCTTCCGCCGGCGCAACATCGCTCAGAATCTGAGAGAAACCCAGGTCGTCGGAGGTGCTCAGGTACATCGCACGCCGGTCATCTCTTTTCCTCGATTTGATGGATTGGAAGTCGGAGACGATGCTCTGTCGAAGCTTCTGGGTCAGCAAGTTGGCTATAGCGCGAAGTAAGGAGAAGATGCTTCTGTGAAGCCCTCATACCACTCCCAGATCCATAGCTTCAATTTGACTGTAGACCTCGTCAACAGTAGAAAAGAGGCGCAGGGAGGAGTGTGAAGGTCTGGAAACTACTAGCAAAAGGCTAGGTGGAAGAAAAAAATAGAGAAAGAAAAAGATAAAGAAGGAAGAAGTTGCAGTCTTGCAGAGTTGCCGAGATGGTGAAGCGTAAGGAAGAAAGCGGAAGAAGAAAAGGGGTCACGAAGGAAAGAAAAAGAAAAGGAAAGAAAAAATGCCACCTCAATCACCACATACCCAATTAACCGGAGAAATTGATAGGATACAGACTAAAAAGAAGATTTGTCATTTTTAAATGAGTTTAGGGGTGTAATTGGATGAACTTTCAGTTGGAGGGCTTAATTGATTTTTTTGAAAAGTTGGGGGGCTTATTTGATAGTTTTCCCTTTATAGATTTACCACGGATTCGATAAAAATGAAATAGCTATATTATACTTCTGTTTGTCTTGAAATTATCGAAAATTAGAATCGTAAAAAGTTAAACATCGATGGATTAAAAAAGTTTTAACCACAGAAATGACGTCTTTTTAGGCTCTGTTCGGCACGCCATTTCAGCTAAAATAAAGGCTGAAATATTAAAGGTTTAGTCAATTTTAATTAAAGTAGTTCTGTTTGTTTGAAAAGCTGAAACGGGCTTGATCTGAAATACTTGAGCTAAACCCAAACGTTTAGGCAGGCAACGTTTATATTCAGCCGCACCATCTCAGACTTCACATTCCCATCGTGTCCTTCATCTCACGCAAAACCTCTCCTCCTTTTCTTCCCCAGCCGACTGCCAAGGTATGATTTTTTTTTTTACTTTCCCCAATTCCTTGCTGATAACACCTATTTCCTCCGTATCCAAGGTATCAATTTACGGAGTCACTAGTGGAAAAATGACTTTTTATATGGGGTAAAATAGACATACTATAACGGTTCACAACCGTTATAGTATCAGTGGATATAGAAAGTCAACACTATCAATGCCGGTTGTTGTACCCCATACAGAAAGCTTATAATATCGGTTGTTAGTTCAACCGTTATAGAAAGTCTATATTTTGAATAAAAAAAAATTGTTTTTCATTTTGGTTATATATATATATATAATCAAAATGAAAAGCAATTATTCTGAATGCTTTTTAAAAAAAAACACGTGTTGTATGTTTTGTATCCAAATGCATATAAATCTAACAAACTACAAACAATTTGAATTGAATACTCGTATATTATAATTACAACTTTTTTGTATATAGAACCACACTATTCAAACAAAGGACTAATTACAGAGACTGATTACACTTTTATTACGACACCTAACTCAATCTTCTTCTCCGTGCACTTTAATACTTCAAGCTTCACTAAATTCAGCTAAATCCTGAACTTGCCTGTCAAATTAAACTAAATCCAGATTCCACACAGAAAGGAGTAATATAACCCATCAAAGAAATAATAATACTGATAATAATTGAATAAAAAACAGTAAAGCTTGAGCCCGAACATAAAAAAGGACTATTAAACCACAAAGGCTTCTATAATTGGAAGACCAACATCCATCTTTTATGACCTGTAAAAACTACTACGTATAAAATCTCACAAAGGGGAGGAGAGAAGCAGAGAAGCAAGGTTAACTAAGTTCGAAAGTGAACATACACAAGTAAAATCCGGATTACAAAATCCAAGACTTTATAACTTATACTATGTACAACAATAGATAAAACTTAACCATACTCTGACATGTAATCTAACAAATTTTCTTGTAAGCTGAAATATTATAGATAATGTTAGCAAACATAAAAGCAAACATAAATCACCTAGCGCTAGAACAGCATGATTAAAATTTAAGTTCAATACAGGTCAATAAATCTATGGGATGCACACAAATGAAATATGCAAGTCATTTACATATATAATAGTATGGACTCTATGTCTCTACTTGGTAAAGAGATCAGAGCTAGTTAATAGTTGCTCCTATGTGGACCTTTTTTCTTCTAGTTTCACAGGTTAGAAGCCACTGTTATCAACAAACATTTAAGAACTTAGTACATTGATTATACTCTCAAGATAAATCTAATTTAAAAATAATGGCTCAAACAAATTACCAGATAAGTAAAAAAAGATATTTTGCTCTGTAAACAGAACACATATTTTGGAGGCATGCAAGGTCAAAAGTAAATTTGTTAGAGATACTAACTGAAACAAAATGACATTAGAGCAAAGTTTCTGTACAAAACAGTAACATCTTATTTTGAGCTAAACAACATCTATTGTGAATTTAATTAACAGCGCACTTAAATAAAAAAGATACTGATCCATAGAAGAAAGGAGATAATTTATATTCAATAACGATATTTAATGCTATTCTGTCACTTTTCAATTATAAAGGAAATTTGTTCTGATAATAATGCACTCTAATAATGCTAGCATATGAGTGACAAAGCAATCTGCATCAACTCAAAAATAAAACTAATGAAAAGTGAGCTAATGGTTATGACCCTTCCTATTTTATGTTTAAATTGAGTAAAAGCTTAGCCTTACTCTTCATAATCAATTAACAAAAGTGGTTTAAGATTTTTACTAAGATCTGTAGCCATACACTTTACAAAAGTGGGTTAACATGCACCAGTTTAATCCAACAAAAGAACATGTTCATTATATTTCATACATCAAGCCTGAACAAAAATTATCTAAACATCAAACCCTACGTATTATAATGGTTATATTTCAAATGAGTAGAAGAATAAGCATTTTTACTGAAATGGTGGAAGATGGAGGTGGATAGAGGCAGTGGGCAGTCGGTGGTGTCCAACAACAGATGGTGGGTCCTGAAGAGAGGATAAACACTTCTCACTCTTGTCCTGAAAATTGAAGATACGTTACAGAGATTTTTAAGTTATAAAGATCACTCAATCTTGCCTAACCAGGGAAAATAGAAGCTGCCCTAAAAAAAGATACATCCTCATACTCGTATTTCTTTTGTAATAAGTAGCCCAAGTATCCTTCAAGAAAAGGACATAAGAACTTCCACATTCAGTTTTTTTAGTCCTGTCTAAATGTTCTCGGAATCTTTTCTGGCCTTCATCCATCCCCTGAAATCTTCAATATATCCACTAAGATTTTAGAGTTGGAAGGCAGGTGTCTAACAAGTCAAGAACCTATACGTTGTATATCCGCAACTAAATCCAATTCTGCTTGAAGAATAAAATTTCTCATTTAGACATTTTTACAAACACGTTATATACATTACCATGTAGTTTTTCAAAAACAAATTACGCCCTCTCCCAAAGTTTAAAGCTATTAAACAAAAACGAAACAAAAATATATGCAAAACTTAAATCTTTAACACAAACTCCTTAAAATACTTAGGTAAAAAATATACGTAGTATATCAAAACACAATACTTTTTCGTACCTAGCTAAATAGCGCAAAAAATAGATAGATCCTGTGAAGAAGATGGAAGAATGATGAACTATTGGTGATCTGAGAACCGTGTCCGAACACCGGTGAAGGAACGACGATTCGATTTGGCATCACCTACTTCGAAAAGACGATACTTTTTCGTACCCAGCTATATAGGTCGATAAAGAGATAGATCGTTTAGATCCTGTGAAGAAGATGGAAGAATGATGAAGTGTTGGTGATATGAGAACAATGTCCGATTGCCGGTGAAGGAACGGCGATTCTATTGCCGGTTAATGATGAATTACAGCTTTTTTAGTTAAAAGATTTAGGTCATAGAGTATAGAGCATTAATATTGAAACTGAAATGTTTTCATAACGGTAGACATAGAACAGACATAGATAAGTAGTTTTAAAAATTATAAAAAAGACCCCGCTGCTATCATTATGTTTCAAATATTCTAATATAGACCCCGTTTTCAACTTTTTACTTCGGCGGTAGTTCGGCCACATCTGTAACCCATATTAAAGAGGTTCTTTATTTTAATTCAGACCCACTATGAGGCAAAATACTTTTTATATTTCAAATTTTGACCCCGCGTTGTATATACCGTAACGGGTAAGTTATAACCCATATGAAATCCTTGTTATAGATTGAGTTTTTTACACTAGTGAGTATATGTTTTCTCATTCTCCATCTGCTCTATGCTTTATTCACTGCTCAACTGGAAATAAAAAAACGATTTTAAAGGTCACCTGCATAGCTATAAAGAATGTCATCAATGATTAAAATAATATTGTATGCAAAAAAAATTACTAGTATTTTGACAAAGGCTAAAAATACAAAAATCATTACAATAAATGTATTTTATTCTATTAATAATCATATGTCCTTTAATGTAATTTCACATTATCCCTGCATTTGTTCAGCTCTTTTTGTCAAACGGGTTAACTCCATCCAGCTAGCAATTCAGATTCAGCACTTTCAAGTTCAGTTCCAGACAATAGTCTCAGTTCAGACAATAGACTCTATTTCAGACATTAGCCTCCAGTTCCAGCTTATTGTGCCAAACATAGCCTTAGACTCCACCGTAGATTCGGCATATATTGAAAGATTTTGCAAGCACTATCATGCAAAATATAATTAGAAACTTAGGTTTTACGGTTTACTCATGTTAGTTGCTTTGACTTTTGGTGTTGTTCGGATAAATCTAAAAAAAAGGAATGTAAACAAAACAATCATCTACTGAAAAGTAAATGAAAAATAGTAAGACCAATTTAAACTCGGGATTTATCTCACTAAAATTTAAGATTATATATTTTTATAAGCTTAAAAAATAAAGTTTATCTCATATTTACTGAAATAGATCGAGTAAGTGCCCATAATAAATATTAAATGAAAGTTAAGAGGACGACTTTATTAATTCAAAGTAAATGAAGTTAGTAGATTTTAATAGATTTTCTGGTATATTTTTCCATAAAATTTTATATATGTAGTATGGGTTTAATGCACCAAACCCCCTCGTGAAATATAAAATCGACACATTAGCCCTCTGTGATTTAAAAAATGCGTCAAACTCCCATGTGTTATAATCAATCATGTGCAAAACCCCCTCTAAGAACAAATTTTACAATTTTGAAATCACTTTTTTTAATAGTATGGTTGAATATGCAAGTAACTTTGTCAAAATTTCTAAATTATACAAAAAAACTAATCATTTTTCTTTTTTTGGGAAATTAAATTTGTTCTTGGAGGGGGTTTGGCGCATGATTAATTATAACACAAAGGGGTTTGACGCATTTTTAAATGAGTGAATTCCCTAAATAGGACTAAAAAGTGGAAAAATTGCACAAATAGGACTACATTTTTTAAATTCCCTTAATAGGACTATTTATGTGTGTTTGGACAAATATACCCTTGTAACTTGTGAAATGTTTTAATTAATAATAAAATCATAAAAAAATTAATAAAAATAGAAAAAAATACTAAAAATCGTAAAAAAATAATAGAAAATTAATAAAAATATTTTTTAAAAAAAATAAAAAAATATTTTTTTTAAAAAAATAAAAAAAAATAAAAAAACCATAAAATTAAAAAAAACACATTACCACCCCTGCCACCCCCAACACCACCATCTCCCATCACCGGACAAAAATATGCCAACATTTTAAATAATGCCATAATGATGGCATAATCAATGAAAATGTTGGCATATTGAAGAGTAATTATGCCATCTTTTTGGCATTTTCAGAAAAATATGGCATTTTTTTACCAAAAGTGGAAGAAATTTCACCAATAGAAGGTGGTGGTGCTGGGAGGCGGCGGGAGGTGGTGAGAAAGGTATCCATAATTTTTTTTTCATTTTTTATGGGTTTTTACTATTTTTTATTATTTTTTAAAAAAAATTAATAAAATAAAAAATTAAATTTTTTATTTTATAAATGTTTTATATTTTTTTTTTAATTTTTTTACGTTTTTTAAATATTTGTTTACGTTTTTCGTGATTTTATTATGAATTAAAGCATTTCGTTATGAATTAATACTCTTAGGGGTATTTAGGGTAGAAAATCAATGTTTAGTCCTATTTAGGGAATTTTAAAAATAGTAGTCCTATTTGTGCTTTTTAAGAACTTTTTAGTCCTATTTAGGACAATTTCCGTTTTTAAATCACAGGGGGCTTATGTGCCGAATTTATATTTCACAAGGGGGTTTGGTGCATCAAACCCTATGTAGTATGTGTTTACCAAGATCAATTAATAAATGAAATCAGTAGATTTTAATATGTTTGTAGAATGTATTATTATAAGTCGAGCTTAAATGATTTGTTGGTGCACGTAATTAGCACACCTAATGCTTATGGGAAATTACTCTAAATAGGACTAAAAACGTTTGTATATTCTAAAATAGGACTTTCATATTTTTATTCGTTCCCAAAATATGACTAATTACTGCCATGTTTTGGCATTACCAGACTTTAAAGATGGTAGTATTTTCCAAACTTGGCAGTAATTACTCATCTTTTTGAATAAAAACATGACAGTCCTATTTTGGAATTTTCAAACTTATTTACTCCTATTTCGGGAATTTTCCCTATTTTATCCATATCAAAAAGTCAAATCAAATCAAACCGTATTAGAACGCATTATATCGGTTAGGTGGTCTTTGGTTCAAGGTTTAGGATTTTCAATTTTAATCCTATTTTAATCAGAAATATTTAGACCCGTATAAATTGAGTCATTAACGTCTACAGATGTGAGAATTGTTTTCAAATTTTATAGGAGAGAATTTTCAACAATGGTCGCTTAATTATGCAACGACTGTTACAACACTCATGTAGGATTGTTGTTAAAAAAACCAATTTTCTCTCACAGTGAATTTTACATTGTTTCCAGATTTCCAATTGAAAAGGTCTCACAATTTTGTTGGTGGATGGTGACGATCAAAGCACAACAAAGACAACCGACATTGTCTATAAAGAAGTTTTTTTATAAAACTCATGTTGTATTTTATTCTTAATAATTGTTTACAAGTAATGCTATTTAGCAGTACTCCTCTAATTGAATAAAAAAAAAATCGTTGCATATTGTCTTTTACTTGAATAGTTTGTATGTAATTTATATGTCCGTGCATCGTACGGGTGAGCTACTAGTTACTAATAAAAGGGTAATAGGTAGAGAAGTGATCTTTTTTAAAAATTCCTGAAATATGATTAATAAGTGACAAACTTGCTTATATACCCACTGCTACAGTGACACGAGACACAATGACATCCACCCTCCTTGCCACCACCTCCCACTGGTGACCGCCGCCGCCGTCGGAGACCGTCACCGGCAATAGTGACAACGACCACAGTGACACAATAGTGACGCTGTCACTGCCTAATGACACTGATTTTTCAGTGACGCCACCCGACAAAAGTTACTCCGGCCGATACGGTTGCCATGTCACAGCCGCCGAGTCACTGTCGCTGCCGCGCCCGGATCGCCGCCGCCGCCGCGGGCGGCCACAGTGACATCTCCGCAGTGACATACCCGTTCCAAATTCTGACTATAGTAACACGAATACATTGACATCTACCACTACCTCCGACCGGTGACAGTCGCCGCCCACCAGAAGATACTCCGGCCGCAGCAACCCTCATCAGTGTAACTGCCAGATACTCTGCCCAACAACAAGACTCTGCCCGACCACATCCACCACCCCTGCCCCATCCCAGCCCCCTCCCCTGCCCTAAGCCGCCTACTCCAGTCCCTAGCCCCTCCCCTCCCCCAGATCTACGCATCGGATCGCTGCCCAACCCGCCCCCTGCACCCTCCACTGGCCGCCCCCTATCGGTCCTTCAGGTCCTTCTCCTACTTCGAGGACGGTGGATTCGGCATATCCGGGACCCGCTGCGTCAAACCTGAGCCGTCATCCACCGAGGTTGGCGGATCCAGAACCAGAAGCGGTCGATCGCCGCCCTCGATGCTGGCCCATCAGATTCAGCCCTCTTATACAACCCTCGAAGCTCGGATTTAGCCCCTTTATAGTCGGAATCACCCCATTTCCGCTCAGTCAATGGGAATCATGTCATCCCTGCATCTAGATAGAAATAGAAGGAAGGATGGCCGAAGATGGCGGTGCAGCAGAGAGAACTTGTAGCGGTGGCGCGAGAGGAAGATGGCGAACGAAAGGCGGCGGCCGCGACATGGTTCGAAGATGCAGAGGCGATGGGGGAAGATGAAGGCTTCATTCGTTGCTGGGTTTGGGAGTCGGCAGAACATATTGCTTTTTAATTTTAAAAATGGTTACTTTTTTGTCCAAATTAAAAAGAGTTATATTTTTGTTCACACAAAGTCCACCGGTGATATTTTCGCTATTCTTTATTACGGAGAATGCTAGGAGTTATGGATGAATGCATCAAGGAGAGTAGTGGTAGCGATGCATTTATCGGTAGAAAAGATTAGAATAGAGAATTAATTATGTACTGGAGTTACATTCTTATGTGAAAACTTGAATAGTAAATATATTATTGAAAGATTTTTCATGTTTTAGTAGTCATATTTAATAAAGATCTAGAAAGATCTTCGAGCGCCTATAAATCAAACTCTTGTAACCATTACTTCACCAAACAAATTGAATATGTTCTAAGTTCATTGGAGAGCAGATTATATAGTCTTCATAAGATACTATACATTTATCCACATGAATCAATTAAAATATTGTATGTAGTTGAATTATATATATAAATGAAAATTAAAAGTGATATATATAATGCCTTGGACCTATCAATCGAATGATAGGTACGGTACCCCATTTTTCAATTGGGTACCAAAGTTGTCACCTCATTAGAGGCTATAATTCTAATCTAAAGTTTTCATTTCTATTTTACACACTACAATTTACTAATATGACTTAGAGAAAATTGCTTCCCATAGGACTAAAAGATAGAAAGTTTACTAAAGTACAACTTAGTTGCGTTTTTTCCATTCGTACGATTTATTTAGCTCCATTTCAGGAACTCATATTTTTACTTTCCATTTTTACCCTTAAAATAAAAATACGGAGCGCCTTCCCCCAACTCTCGTCTTCGCCTCTCTCGCCTCATCGACAATATGACCGCTCACCAGTCTCGATGGATCCAGAAGCTTGAAACCGACATCGTCTCATCAAGCAGGTTTTGGCCAGATCTTCGATTCGAAGATTGCATAAGCGACACCTAAGGCTCCACCGACACTCTGATTTTGGGAAACCAAATAGAAGCCTCCCAGCTTTACAAGGGCACAATAGATCGCCGCTGAGAATCACACGATGGGAGTTCACAATTGATCTCAACGCCCTAACTAGGATTGTGACATTCATTATTCTGTCAATTTACCTATTAATCGGCAATGGCCTACGACTTTTCATCGAAGAGTTTCTTTACAATTATACTTCAAAATTATGTCTATGTGCTATCACTTTTGTATATTGAACTTGGAGATTGATTTTACGTGACTTGCTCTGTTATTGAGCTATTATCAGGACTTATTGTCTATTTAATGATTACTTACTGTCTATGTATTGTCTGTTGTTGAACTATTATTAGAACTTATTGTCTGTTTACTGACTACTTAATGTCTATGTATTGTCTAGTGTTTGCAAGTTTGATTTTGGATCTGGTTTCTTCAAAAGTTTTACAGAGTACCTGATGACCTTGTAAAAATATGTGAAATAGAAGTTCAAAATTGGCAAAATCAATGTCAAGAATCAAAGAAGAAAAAGAAGAAGAAGAAGATCGAGGAAGAAGAAGAAGAAGAAGAAGAGGAAGAAACCTCTACCAGTGGCGTCCGATGAAGTCAACCGGAGCAGCGTGGATTTGAAACCGATGGATCTGGTGCGGCGTCGGCGACGGTGAAGTCGATCAACGGTGAAGTGGATCTGGTGGCTTTCTTTGTTGCTTGCCGAGTTTTATCTTCGATCAGTGTGGCTTTCAAGTTGCCTGCTACCTCAAGGGTATTGTGGTCAAAATATGTATTGTTTAGTCCTATGCTTACTTGTGGTCCTAGTTTTAGAAAGTTATTATGATTTAGTCTTATTTGTATAAATCTCCCTATGACTTATCATATTTATAAGTGCATTAATTATTACGCTATTTTATTTTGTGTTTGTTGGAATTATGTGTATATATATTCAAGATTTTATTTACTGTTTTGTTCATTTTAATTTAATATTTCTACATTTCTATTTCTAAATTCTTAAAATTCACTACGTATGGCTTAACTTCTTACCATATCAATTACTCTCATATATGACTTCTTAGTTGATGGCGCGGTTTAAATTAATTAATAGAAAAGAAATTGCTCTAATAAATAGAAGTAAAAATGTTTGTGAATTCCCAAATATGATTGTCATATTTTTATTTTGTAAACATTAGTAATTACTGTCATTTTTTAATTTATCAAACCTTAAATGTGATAGTATTTTCCAAGTTTAGTAGTAATTACAGCCAAACATCTTGTGGCTCGATAGCATCATTGTGACACTCCTAAAGAGGAGGTCACAGGTTCGAAATTCATCCCAATCAAGGATGGAAGGGTGTTGACATTTAACAGAACAGATACTATGAATAAAAGAGAAAATACAGTAAAAAAGCTTAATAAGAATTACACTTATTTAGGAAATAAAAGCACGCATGACAGTCCTACTTTAACATTTCAAAATATTTTTATTCTTATTAATTTCTCGATTTTTCCCATAGACGGTTTTATTTAGTTGGACCTTTACTCAATAAGTAGTTGGGTTTATTTTGTCTATTTGATTATGTTTGACCAGTATTTTAAATTAGAGCTATATACGAAGAAAGGAAGCTAGCTATGGAGGTAGTGACTGCTAGTGACTGAAACTTGTGGAGTGTGTGTATTTAGTGGACTGAAAATTCATGCCATCGACGAAGCAACGTACGTATGAACGCATTGTAGGAGTCGTTGATTCTCGTTGAATTGGCATGAAATCGACTTCTTAAAACATTCACAGTCAAAGTAAGGAATTGAACCCATCCGTATATACGATCCAGCCAGTCAAAGGAGGCAGCCACTCAATCACAACTTTACACGCCAGCACAACCGTGGGATCGGTCTTCAATGGTCATATCCATGCACACACGTATATTTCATCAAGAGTAGTAGCAAGTTATTAGTAACAATAGGAGTAAACCATTAATGGGAGTAAATACTAGAGGACGGTAAATCTTGTAATGTTACTCCTATTTCAAAAATAAAAACCTAATATCATATTTTGAAATTCTAAAAGGTGTTTACTTCCATTTCAATAGTAGAAAATGACTCAAATAAGAATAAAATATGGTTCCTCCTAGCGATGTCTAAACTTAACGTATTCTTCGTCGGTGGAACTCGTCTGATGTTAAATTTTATTGTTGGTGATTGTCAATGCTTGTTTTGCTTGATTTTTTGGGAGATTAATTTCGGGAATTGGCGACACTTGGGACTTAGTTATTTGCCCCTTCTTGAACCACCGTCATGCTATGAGAGAAAGATAATGCTAGATGATAGTGCTAGATTGGATCTTCTTTTTTTGACTGGTCAAACTAATGATATTGACAATTTCTTCTCACTAGCTAGTCAAATTGGGGATTATGGCTGTTTTTTTCTAGTGGTCAGTAATAATGTAATTTATATTTTTCTCTAATTATAGGAACTTCTATGTAATTATATTTCTTTAATTACTATAAATACATCATTCAGGGCTAGCTATCAGACTGCTTAAGTCTGATTATTTTTTCTCACATGGTCTCTGAGACTAAAAAGCATCTAAAAACGTACCTTTTATTTCGACGCATATGGCTTCATCTTCGATGACTGTCGTCTGTTTTATGACTACGCCATCCATGGAAGCATCGACTAGGGGTGGACAAAGTGGTTCGGTTTAATCGAGCCGAACTGTACCAAAGTGAATTAAACCGAACTCAAACTGAGTCATATGTAATTTGGTTTGAGTTTGGTAGCAATTCTTCCAAAACGTATTAAACCGACCCGAACCAAATCTGGGACTACCAGTCTAGTTAAACCTAGATATATATTATTTCTCAATTCTGGACAAACTAAATTTTCTATTATTCAGTTTTCGAAGCATGGTAAAACAATTCATATGTTTATTTTCTACCACAGAGTAGGTTTAAACCTTTTTTGGTTTTGCTTATTGATTTAGTAGCAAGATCGATGCTTCTATATATGCATGTTGATAGAGGTGTTGACGTACATGGGTCACCGAATTGTTATGTTCCTTTGGAACTTTTCTATTATATGTCTTATCACATTGTAGTCTTAGGCTATCTAAAATTGCTTTTGTATTGATCATTAATAAATAAGTATCTTTCTTTCAAAATAGAACTAAAATATGATGGAAGAGTAAAATTATAAGATCACAACTTTTTGTGCCATTTAATTTGATAAGATAAAAGTTGGAGTGAATTTATGAAGTATTTGTTGCGGTTCCCTGATGACCCCAACAAATAATTCAAAAAATGCATCTAATTACTGTTCCACCATGATCACAGCAAAAAACAAATTTGTATTTGTTGCGGTTTTACCCTGACTACAGCAAAAACCAAAATTTGATAAATATTTGTTGCGGTTCATGACTACAACAAAAACCTTTTAAAAATGACTAATTGATATAGTTCCCCCAACAAATTAACAAATGTCATTCTAAACACTTATAATTTTGTTCATAGGAAAATTTAGTTGTCACATATGAGTCCGTTCGAGCAAAAATGTCGTAATCCAACACGAATGTCATCTCAACCAATATCGCACCATAATATTAGTAAATTGTCACCTTGATTTTTAAATGTATAAAAGTTGTCATTTATGTACTAGCTAGCTCTGTCCCGAAACATCGACTTTTCTTGGTCTATGACGGCAAACTTTAGACAATAATTTTAAATATTATTTTTATAAATATTTTATAAGTTTTTATACTTTTATGAAAAATATTTTGAATAAATAACATTTTAATTTAATAGGAGTAATTTTTAAATTCAAAATAATTTCTTATTAAAAATATCGTTTACCATTGATGAACAACATTCACAAACCGGCGGTCTGCTCCCTCAATGGTAGGGTTTTTTTCCGCCGATCAATCTGATCGTGCGGATAGTTGATTTTAGTTGGTTTGGACCAAAGAAAGGAAGCGACTGAGACCTAGCACCTCATTCGTTCGTCAGAAGAGGCCGAGCTATGTTCGTCGGCATTTTTGGGCGCAATTGCAGGGAAAGATGAATGCATCACATGGCTTGGCAACGAAGAAGTTAACAGCAAGCGGCGGTTTTTCTACGAGTGCGGGACGTGGAGAGCTGTATGGGTTTCGCGTAGGCCAGATTTCGATCAACAATGGATGATCAATTAGAGTAGTACCAATGGTACTGCCTCCTCTTGAACCACCGCCAGAGGCTGAACGAGGTGCTAGCATTCGTGAAAGTTATCCTATTGGTTATTATTTTTTGGGAAAAGGGTCAGATAAGTCATCGAACTTACATAA